GGCGCTGGGGTGCGTGCCTGCAGTTCCAGCTACTTGGGAGGCTGAGGTGGGAGAATCGCTTGAGCCCAGGAGTTCTGGGCTGTAGTGCGCTATGCCGGTCAGGTGTCCGCACTCATTTCGGTATCAATATGGTGACCTCCTGGAAGCAGGGGACCACCAGGTTGCCTTAGGAGGGGTGAACCGGCCCAGGTCGGAAACCGAGCAGGTCAAAACTCCCGGGCTGTTCAGTAGTGGTAGTGGGATCACCCCTGTGAACAGCCACTGCCTGGGCAACACAGAGAGACCTCATCTCTTAAAAAAAAAAAAAAAAAAAAAAAAAAAAAAAAAAAAAAAAAAAAAAAAAAAAACACACAATAATACTGTTCCTTCCTTATGGGATTGTAATGAGGATTGAACAAGACAATCTATGTAAAGAAAATAGACAAATACCTGGGACGTTACAAGCATGTAATCACTCAAAGATGTTAATCATTATTGTTATTAGTAAGTCACCTAAAAGATCTCAGCAGCTCAGAAATCCAAATTTGCCAAACACCCTATTTCTAGTTCAATCTACACAATCAGGTTTATATCAAAGGTGTCTTGGTCAGCCCTGTTTCATCTCCCTTTCTGCCTGGAGTCCCCCAACCGACTCACCTGGGCTAGTTGGTCCTCAGCTAAGACCGTCCCTCGCTCCTTATACTTGGCCTGTCAGACAAAGAGACCAGCATTAGTTAAGAGAGTGGGCGCTGGGGTCCCCCACTTGTGTTGCCACAGCTTTAGGATGAAAAGGGAGGGTCTCTCTTAAATGGTTTTCTTAGGGAGAGGATAGGGTTCAAGGAGTAGAATCCCATTTGTAGTTAAACTTAGGGAAGTGGGAGAAAAGGCCAGGCATCTGGGAACGCTGCCAATCCACCGGCAACTGGAGAAATTCAGTGTCCCAGGGTCGAGAAGCCCTTCTTAGATTCTGCCGGGAGGTGATTAACGGGTAGGGCTCTGCTCCAGGAGAATCCAATCCCTCACGGGTCAGGGGCAGGTTGTGGACAGGCCTTTTTCCTGCTCACCTCTGCAAGTTTTTTCTTGGCGATGGCGCCAGCTCCCACCCCGCGGCGGTGCATCCCCGCCCTGGGCCCGCGGCCGCCCAGCTGCCCGGGCCCCAGGTCTCGCAGTCCCGGGCTCCAGGTCTCGCAGTCCCGGGCTCCGCCGTCGGCTCCCCAGGCGGAAGCCCGAGCGCGCGTCATCTGAGCGCGCCGGAAACCACGCGCCGTATTTCCTGCCGCGGGTCTCGGTGTATACGGTCCTTACAGGCCCAGCGGCCCCGCCTTTTCCTAGTGACCAAGATCCGCAAAGCCTGGAGACGAGGAAGACACCAGGACTTGCCAGCGGCCGGGCCCCTTGTTGGCGAGTGCGGGGACGGGGAACACCGGCCGCCAAGGCCCGACCTTGTGCATCTCGCCCATGTAGGCGCCTGGAGCCCTGGTCTTCCTCGACTGCCCCTCCACTGCCTAGAGGTCATCAAATGCCCCAGGACCACCTCCTGCGTGCCAGGCACTGTGTTGGCCGTCGAGGGTTCCATAATGAGCATAAAATAGCTACCCAATCGGAGTTAACCTGTTAGAAGCACATGCAGAGGGCCGGGCGCGGTGGCTCACGCCTGTAATCCTAGCACTTTGGGAGGCCGAGGTGGTTGGATCCCCTGAGGTCAGGAGTTCAAGACCAGCCTGGCCATCATGGTGAAACCCCATCTTTATACAGAATAAAAAATAATTAAAAAAAAAAAAAATCACATGCAGAGGATTCTAACCAGGAAGGGCCTTGGAGTTGAACTCTTAAGTCAGTTTGCCTGGCTGTAAAGCTCAGTTCCACTACATATGGTCTAGGAACTTCAGGCAAATTATCTTAATCTTTTATGTTTCACTATCGGCAGTTGTGAAGTAGAAAATACCTACTCATAGGCCAGGTGTGGTGGCTCATGTCTGTAATCCAAGCACTTTGGAGGCCAAGGCGGGTGGATCACCTGAGGTCGGGAGTTCAAGACCAGTCTGACCAACATGGTGAAAAGCTGTCTTAAAAAAAAAAATTAAAAAAAAAAAAAAAAACCTACTCATGAAGTTGTGAGGAGGTAGTTAAAAAATAGGTAATAGGTCAGGTGCGGTGGTTCATGCCTGTAATCCCAGCACTTTGGGAGGCCTAGGTGTATCACCTGAGGTCAGGAATTCAACACCAGCCTGGCCAGCATGGTGAAACCCCGTCTACTAAAAATGCAAAAAATTAGCTGGGTGTGGTGGCCAGCGCCTGTAATCCCAGCTACTCCAGAGGCTGAGGCAGGAGAATCTCTTGAACCCGGGAGGCAGAGGTTGCATCGAGTCGAGATCAGGTCACTGCACTCCAGCCTGGGCAACATAAGAAAAACTCCATCTCAAAAAACAAAAAAAAAAAAGAATAGAAAACATCATAAGTGATTTTGATAGCACTAAGGTATCTATCAAGGAGCTAATGGAGGACTGTTAAGTGAGGAAGTAATAAAATCTGGTTTTTGTTTTAGAGAAATTAGTGGTGTTAACGGTGGAGGTTATCCAGGTTCTTGGCATCTTGAACAAAGACTTGAACAAAACACACAAAGCAAGGAAGGCATGAAGGGATTTATTGAAAATGAAAATGTGAGAGAGGGCCCTAGCATAGAGGCTCAGAGGCCTTGTTACAGAGTTTTTTTGTGAGTTTAAATACTGATAGTCTTTTTTTCTGTAACTGCTTCATGTTGGCTTGGGGGCAGAGTAGCTTCTTCATGTCCAGAGGTGGTGTCTTCACATGGAACTGGCTGGAACCTTTGTTGCATGATTATCTGACGCTTGATTGTCTCTGGGCGAGAGGAAATGAACTTGGTTAAAAGATGCAATGGGAACTTCAGGGGGTACTACCTATGCTATCAGAAATGTTTGTTATAGAGATTTGCAGAAGAAAAAACAAAACCGGGGCTGGGAGTGGTGGCTCATGCCTGTAATCCCAACACTTTGGGAGGCTGAGTAGGGCAGATCACAAGGTCAGGGGTTTGAGACCAGCCTGGTCAATATGGTGAAACCCTGGCTCTACTAAAAATACAAAAGTTAGCCGGCCATGGTGGCACGTGCATGTAGTCCCAGCTACCTGGGAGGCTGAGGCAGAAGAATTGCTTGAACTCAGGAGGCGGAGGTTGCAGTGAGCTCTGAAATCATGCCACTGCACTCCAGCCTGGGTGACAGTGCAAGACTCCATCTCTAAAAAACAAACAAACAAACAAACAAAAAACAGTTATAGGGGATTAACGAAAAGACCACTTAGTCAAGCAAGTAGATTCTTCATCTAGCTCATTCTTTATTTAATTTTAGGTGGTTTGGTTTATGGGGACCCTGGGTAAGGAGCATACTCCAAACTCTTGGTATTATCCTCCCAATATTCATAATAATAGTCTCTCTGGTGTGCTGTAGTCTCTCAAAGGTTTTCAGTGCTTGCATGCAGCCATCTCTAGAATGGCAAATGGTCTCTTGAACTGGAATAACAGAAGCTGAAAGAAATATGCAGCCACCATGAGGACATCTTAACCTGAAAATGACGTGGTGAGACTCCGCCCACCTCAGCCTTCCAAAGTGCTCGGATTACAGGCAAGAGCCAGTGTGCCCAGCTTTTTTTTTTTTTTTTGAGACAAAAACTCACTCTGTTACCCAGGATGGAGTGCAGTGACGTGATCTCGGCTCACTGCAACCTCCACCTCCTGGGTTCAAGCAACTCTCCTTCCTCAGCCTCCCGAGTAGCTGGGACTACAGACACCTGCCACCACACCCAGCTAATTTTTTATTTTTAGTAGAGATGGGGTTTCACCTGTTGGGCAGGCTGGTCTCGAGCTACTAACCTCAGGTGATCCACCGGCCTCAGCCTCCCAAAGTGCTGGGATTACAGGCATGAGCCACCACGCCCAGCCTACAACTGAATTTTTGTAACTTACATTTGATGTATTTCTCCATAGGCCACAAGTGTTAGCAGCTGCACAGGTACTTTTCTGTTTAGCCAATTCCAGTTATAACTTTCACAAGAGAATTTAAAGTCTGTTGTGTAACTGTAGCCTTTACAGTAGAATTTGCTATAGAACGTATCATGAGGTCGGGCACAGCGGCTCACCCCTGTAATCCCAGCACTTTGGGAGGCTGAGACAGGTGGATCACCTGAGGTCAGGATTTCAAGACCAGCTTGGTCAACATGGTGAAACCCTGTCTCTACAAAATATACAAAAAATAGCCAGGCGTGGTGGCAGGCTTCTGTAATCTCAGCTACACAGAAGGCTGAGGCAGGAGAATCGCTTGAACCCAGGAAGGGGAGGAACCTATCACAAAGGATACATTTCTAATCATTGCTTCTTTTACTTTAAACCACGTGGCCGGGCGCGGTGGCTCAAGCCTGTAATCCCAGCACTTTGGGAGGCCGAGGCGGGTGGATCACGAGGTCAAGAGATCGAGACCATCCTGGTCAACATGGTGAAACCCCATCTCTACTAAAACTACAAAAAATTAGCTGGGCATGGTGGTGCATGCCTGTAATCCCAGCTACTCAGGAGGCTGAGGCAGAATTGCCTGAACCCAGGAGGCGGAGGTTGCGGTGAGCCGAGATTGCGCCATTGCACTCCAGCCTGGGGGAAAGAGTGAGACAATGTAAAAAAAAAAAAAAAAAAAACCACGGAAAAGGACCTCACAAATCATGCCCTTTTAGAAAAGCAAAGGCCTCCTAGAAATGTTCTCTTTAACCCATGATGTGGGTTAAGAAGAGTAAACCAATGTTTTGTTTTTGACTGATTATGAGGCAACGTATGTTCCGTTAAAGTTTCTTACCTATTTTGGGCCTTCATCTTTTACCTATCACAGTATAAGGTTATCCATGTATAAGACTGCAAACTCCTTCACAAATGAAAGTATACCCCAGCAGTGTACATAACAGACCCCTTTTCCACTTCTGTTGTTTGTAGAGGCATAAGCAAGAAAAAAATATTCAAAGATAAGAGTTTCATGATAGTAGAAGCCTTTTTTTTTTTAGACAAAATCTCACTCTGTAGCCGAGGCTGGAGTGCAGTGGTGCAATCTCGGCTCACTGCAACCTCCACCTCATGGGTTCAAGCGATTCTCCTGCCTCAGCCTCCTGAGTAGCTGGGATTACAGGAACGCGCCACCACACCAGGCTAATTTTGTATTTTTAGTGGAGATGAGGTTTCACCATCTTGGCCAGGCTGGTCTTGAACTCCTGACCTTGTGATCCACCTGCCTCAGCCTCCCAAAATGCTGGGATTACAGGGGTGAGCCACTGCACCCGGCAGATAGTAGAAGTCTTAATCTGTGAATTTGAGAAAAGCTGTTCACATCAAGAATGCCATCTTCTTCTTGGGTGAAATGTCCCTGGTTCGCTTTACCTCAAGGGTTCCAAAGGGTGCACAGTTCCAAAAGTACACAGGGACCCTTCCCAGTTGCAAGACCATAAACCCAAAGCCCAAGGTCCTGAAGTCTTGTAGTGTGGATGGCAAGCATAGTCTTTCTCCAATGTTTCCAGAGAATTCAAACCATAAAACGCTTTCTGGCTAGGCATGGTGGCTCATGCCTATAATCCCAGCACTTTGGGATGCCGAGGTGGGCAGATCACCTGAGGTCAGAAGACCTGCCTGGCCAACATGGTGAAACCCCATCTCTACTAAAAATACAAAAATTAGCCAGCCATGGTTAATCCCAGCTACTCTGGAGGCTGAGGTAGGAGAATTGAATGAACCCGGGAGGTGGAGGTTGGGGTGAGCTGAGATCACATCATTGCACTCCAGTCTGGGCAACAAGAGCAAAAACTCCATCTAAAAAAAAAAAAAAAAATTCTCGGCTGGGTGCAGTGGCTCACGCCTGTAATCCCAGCACTTTGGGAGGCCAAGGTGGTCGAATCACAAGATCAGGAGTTTGAGACCAGCCTGGCCAATATGGTGAAACCCTGTCTCTACCAAAAATACAAAAATTAGCCAGGCATACACATCTACAACCATCTGATCTTTGACAAACCTGACAAAAACAAGCAATGGGGAAAGGATTCCCTGTTTAATAAATGATGTTGGGAAAACTGGTAGCCATGTGCAGAAAGCAGAAAGTGGACCCCTTCCTGACACCTTACACTAAATGCCATCAAAACTACATTCTTTTTTTCTTTCTTTTTCTTTTTTCTTTTGATAAGGAATCTTCCTTTGTCC